TACTTATGCATTTTTTTGGTTGCTTCTTGTATATGTCCTAACTGGGAATTGAACCTGCAACATTGGCATATTGGGATGATTCAATCTAAGCAACTGAGCTTACTGGGCCAGGGCTAAATACCTTAGATAATTTATACAAGGTGTAACTGTGAAACAGACCTCTTTAAGTTTAGGCACCACAATATTATGAGAATATTTGGATCATTTTATATTTTTGAGTTGTCTTATATTTTTTAGATTTGTATCCTTATAATATGCTTAGAAATCATGTTGGATTCTCCTTCCATTTTATAATTAAAAAATTAATATTTAATGAAGCAACTTGACTATCAATCTGGCTAGGGTCAATGGAAATTTGAGTCCAGAAATCACATCTCTTGATTCAAAGTTCTGTGTTCTTTTTCCTACACCATGCTACATTCCTAGAATTGAGTATGGTATTTTTTTTCTTTGTCCATACAGTTTTTGGAGGGCACTACCTAGACAGATCGCCCTCACATCCAAATGTGTGTGACCTTTGTGGTCCCAAATAGATTATATACAACTGTCACTTGCTCAGGTTAGAGCATATAAGAAGATTGATTCAAATTCCATAGGAGAGGGGATGACAGATAAATTTACAGTGGAACAACATTGGACACTTTGCTATTTAGACCATAATAGCTGTGGGTAGTTGGCAGTTAAAGAGAACCTCTCTCTTTGAAGCCCTCTAGAATGGATACAGAGCTCTGAGTGGAAAGAGAAGTACTGTTCTTAGAATGTTTCACTTAAGCTCATTTGCTGCTTATGTCCTCTTGCCGGGGCCTGAGACCTCACCTGAGGACTCTTTTTCTTCTCTTTCTTAGCCTTCTTGAAGAGAGGCCTTGTTCATTCTTGAGTGGTGTGATCTATGGCATGTGCCCTAAAAAAGCAACAATGACCTGAAATGTGTGATTACAAACCAGTCTATGGGCTGAGAGTCTGAGAGATGGAGTTAAGTTCCTGAGAAGAAACTGGAATTTGAACTCCTATTGTTACAGGTACACAGTATGGAGAATGATTACCATGACCTAGCTTGGTAACAACAAAGAGATCAGGTGCAGGAACAAGGCCCAAATGGTGCTGACAAGGAATTCCAGAGTCTGATGAATTGTGGTCTTAAATAGGGAAGTGGAGTACAGATAGACAGGAAAATATTTACAGAAGCTCTTCCAAGTTAAAAGTGCCTTGTGCTCTCTGTAAGGTATCGGTTCTCCTGATTCTGCACTTTCTCTGCCATGGAAGCAAGAGGTCAGTGCTTTTTCATTTCCAGCTAGCATGTTAGTTGCCCTACCTCCTGGGGTTAAACATCTCTGCAACGACCTGTCAGAGAGTTGATTATTAGCTGTATAAAGCCAGGGATGGTGTAGGGAGCAGATGGGAAGTGGTTTGGCTGCTGCAGCCAGTCTGATTAAAGAATCCTTGGCATTTTTACAGTGTCTTTGGAAACGTACCGCCAAAATTACTATGAAGCCTGCTGGGTTTGGAAAGCTGGATTTCTGAAAAGTAACCTGAGTGAAAAGTAGTGCTTATGAAAACTCTTAACACCCTCAAAAATAGGACAGTGGTTCTCTAAAGAGCATTAGTACTACTAAAGATCAGTCCTCATAATTTTTGTTTGTTTGTTTGCATCCTGGTCATTCAGAAATTCTTTAAAAAAATGTTTTTCTTGATTTTAGAGAGAAGGGAGAGAGAAAGACAGATAGAAACATTAATGATGAAAGAAAATCATTGATTGTTTGCCTCCTGCACACCCTCTACTGGGGATCGAGCCTACCACCTGGGCTGTGCCCTGACCTGGAATCGAACCGTGACCTACTGGTTCATGGGCCGATGACGCTCAATCACTGAGCCATGCTAGCTGGGCCATTCAGAAATTCTGAGTAGTTTTCTAATAGGGAAAACATTTTTTCATAGTTAAATTAATGGAATTATAGGTTTGAAAAAAGCCCTAGGCATGTCTAGACTACCCTTACCACACATAGAAGAATTCTTTATGCAATTTGATTGACAGGTGGTTATGTTTTTTTTTTTCTTTTTCTTTTCCTAAATACTTTCAGTGATAAAGATATGGCTTCATTAAGCATTGTGGGCCAATGTTGGAAATCTAGTGTTGTTAAATTTTTTCCTGAGTTAAAAATCTGTCTTTCTGTAATTTCTGCTCTTTGGTCCTGTTCCCCCCCCCCCCCCCCCCCAGCATCATGGAATAAATTTCTCTCTCCACGTTACAATAATTATTTATTTATTTATTTATTTATTTATTTATTTATTTATTTATAATATATTTTTATTGATTTCAAAAAGGATGGGAGAGGGAGACAGGGATTAAAAACTTCAATGATGAGAGAGAATCATTGGCTGCCTTCTGCCCTCCCCATACTGAGGATCAAGCCCAAAATCCAGGCATTTACCCTGACTGGGAATTGAACTGTGACTTCCCGGTTCATAGTTCTGTTCAATTATTGAGCCACAAAAGCCAGGCATAATACCAATTTTTAAAAATAAATGAACAGCCAAAACTGGTTTGGCTCTGTGGTAGAGCGTTGATCTGCGGACTGAAAGGTCCCGGGTTCAATTCCGGTTAAGGGCATGTGCATTGGTTGCGGGTACATCCCCTATGGGGGATGTGCAGGAGGCAGCTGGTCGATGTTTCTCTCTCATCGACGTTTCTGGCTCTCTTATCTCTCTCCCTTCCTCTCTGTAAAAAATCAATAAAATATATTAAAAAAAATAAAAATAAATAAATGAACAAATATGTACTGCACTACTATTTCATAGAGGCCAAGTTTTATGTAGTGTTGAGAACTCTAAACATTTTACTAAAATTTTATTCTTAATTCTAGAATTATTTTCAGAGTTATTTCTCTCAAGATTTATGTTCCCTTTACCTTGTAGGTGCCAGTTTTTCATAGTTTCTACATCATGTTCCCCTACCACATACAAACACACACACACACACACACACACACTTTTTACTCATCCTTTTATAAAGTAATGTCTATGTAAACTTGAGCCATCAGAGGTTGTTTGCTGTTGTGAATACTTGGCACTAAACTTTACTTCGGTAAAGCTTTCTCTTTCTTCTCAGATCTACAGCTAAATGGTAGGTTAATGTGCACACCTTTCTCTCTTAAATCCCAGTTTCTAGCAGGTGTTCACTTGGTACAGCTCTGCTCTCCTAGGATATCTTTTGTAAACCCCAGCTCCTTTTTTACTGAGGAATAAAAATACTTTATTTTTTAGAGAGGAAAGGAGAGGGAGAGAGAAAGAGAAACATCGACGTGAGAGAGGAACATTGATTGGCTGTCTCCTGCAGACCCCCTACCTGGGATCAAGCCCTCAACCTCTGGGCATGTGCTCTGACCTGCAACAGAACCAGCAACATTTTGGTGCACAGGGCAATGTCCAACCAATTAAGCCATACCTGCAAGGGTTGTACCCTGGCTTTTTGACACTATCTTGAAGAACTACAAATTGTTAGGTCTCTGTTCTATCTGAAGCATTTACCTGTTAGAAATCCACTTTGTAGGATTCATGTGCTATCATTAGTTTGATTTTTTCTGCTCTGTTATTTTATAAGAGTTATTTTCTAAATGTATATAGAAAAATTTTGGATAGCGAAGTGAGCAAGAACAGAACTGTTTGGCTTTGTCATAAAGTAATATCAGGATGGTATATGTAGGTTGCTAGGTTTTTCTAGATGGTAAACTCCTCAGGTCTTGAGTAAGGAATGGAGAGGTATAAATTGCCTTTTTACCTCCCACCCTGCCACCTGTTTAGTCAATTTATTTCATATGGTGGGGCCAATACAGTACTACCAATCTTATACAAGAATGTGGAGCGTTATCCCACAGTCTGGTGTTAGGTTTTTCAGTAGTTGTTTGTAGTAGTTCAGTTATTGGTAAGGTAAAAAATTTTCTTTCCTTTCCTTCCTTCCTTCCTTCCTTCCGTCCGTCCTTCCTTCCTTCCTTCCTTCCTTCCTTCCTTCCTTCCTTCCTTCCTTCCTTCCTTTTCTTCTTCTTCTTCTTCTTCTTCTTCTTCTTCTTCTTCTTCTTCTTCTTCTTCTTCTTCTTCTTCTTCTTCTTCTTCGTGTGTGTGTGTGTGTGTGTGTGTGTATATGTGTGTTTTCATAGGTATTTTAGTGGAAAGTTGGAAAGGCCCATTGAATTCTGTTATTTGAAACCTGGAGTTTAATTAGGCTAATATAACTGAACTTAAATTGATTGTTGAGGCCTCTCTGAGGATATCTCTTTCAGTTGCAATTTTTGTCCCCTGTCCTGATGTATTTCCCCCCAGTTCTGCTTGCTTTTCTCTTCTATTCATAATTAGATACTCCACTGCCAATAGTAAAATGACAAAGAATATTTACTTATTTTTAGTAGGGACAGGCCCTGTTAGAAGAGGGCTTTAAACCTTTTCAAGTCTATCTTCTGAGTCTCAGATAATTCAAGGAGTAACAAGGAGAAAAAGGGGTTGGGAGTAATAAAGTTGTGCTAGAATTTGAGTCTGTAGTATGCTAGGGCTTGTATTGATTGAGGGAAGGTTGCCAGCTGGCAATGGTAGAAATAAGTCTGCTGGGAATGGGAAACTAACTCTAGAGGATTCCTAGTTAAGACTGACCACAGAGTCTCCAGGCAATTGGAAATATTGTACTCATCCCTGGGGAGATGAAGTGGGAATTTACCCTTCTCTGGTCCAATATGACTTGGTTAGAAGTACAATTGAACTGGTTTGTCTTGTCCATTATGATGTGCTAGCCCCCTAGGAAAGGGTCTGTTATGTGTGGGAGTTTATTTCAGCCTGTCTTCTTGTCTATATTGTTTCCTTTAACAGTTCTTTACATTTTCTTTTTCCAGCAATGATGTGGTCCACTGGGCATGTACTGACCAATGTGGCAGGTCTGAGAACATAGCTGAAGCTGAAAATAGGAAAGCTGGGGCAAGGAAGAGCCTTGAATCTTGAGGTGGGACGTTGACTCTAAGATGTCCTTGAGCAGTGGAGCCTCCGGAGGGAAAGGAGTGGATGCAAACCCGGTTGAGACATACGACAGTGGGGATGAATGGGACATTGGAGTAGGGAATCTCATCATTGACCTGGACGCCGATCTGGAAAAGGACCAGCAGAAACTGGAAATGTCAGGCTCAAAGGAGGTGGGGATACCGGCTCCCAATGCTGTGGCCACACTACCAGACAACATCAAGTTTGTGACCCCAGTGCCAGGTCCTCAAGGGAAGGAAGGCAAATCAAAATCCAAAAGGAATAAGAGTGGCAAAGACACTAGCAAACCCACTCCAGGGACTTCCTTGTTCACTCCAAGTGAGGGGGCAACTAGCAAGAAAGAGGTGCAGGGACGCTCAGGAGATGGTGCCAATGCAGGAAGCCTGGTTGCTGCTATTGCTTCCAAGGGCTCAGAGAAGGCGGCTAAGGCATCCCGCAGTATAGCCGGCTCCAAAAAGGAGAAGGAGAACAGCTCATCTAAGAGCAAGAAGGAGAGAAGCGAAGGAGTGGGGACTTGTTCAGAAAAGGATTCTGGGGTCCTCCAGCCAGTCCCCTTGGGAGCACGGGGTGGTCAATATGATGGAAGTGCAGGGGTGGATGCAGGAGCTGTGGAGCCACTTGGGAGTATAGCTATTGAGCCTGGGGCAGCGCTCAATCCTTTGGGAGCTAAACCGGAGCCAGAGGAAGGGGAGAATGAGTGTCGCCTGCTAAAGAAAGTCAAGTCTGAAAAGGTAAGAGGTGGCCAGATCTGGCTGCCCACTGCCAGTCAGAGCTGCCCTGGACTAACCACCAAATGCTATGTGCACTCTGTGGGAGGCTTGTTAGTTACCAGCTGCTCTGACAATTACAAGGTCAGAGCAGCTGGTAATGATAATGTGGCTTTATTTCAAATCGGGATTCCCTACAGATTCATTAACAGCAGGCCTGGACATTTTGGAGAAGAATATTTGTTGTTGGGGCAGCTACTTGTAGGATGAATTTTCTATAAATCAAGTTGAGAACCTCCCACCTTGTTGTTGTCTCACCTCAGATACTTGTTGTTGAAGGCTGACATCAACCTTTATGTGATTCTCCAGCTTGAATGTTGTTTCATCTTCATAATCATTGATAAACTTAATAAATTGATAAACTTAATAGGTTTACGGTTGAGTGCTATTCTAAATGGGATAAATGGTGCTGCTGGGTCTCTGGAGGAGAAAAGGGTTAAATAAAAATAAGTTCCATGGTGTGATATCTATCAGGTATTGTATTGGTGGCTACCAAAGAGCAAAGGAGCACAATGTGGGATAGGAAAACAAGGGGAAGGAGGTTCTGACTATGCTGAGGTACTTAATCAGGTCTTACGAGTTAGTGTTGTGACTATGAAAGTTTAGCCTTGAAAGAGATTCTTTGGCCACCAAAGGTATAGTTCTTGGCCAGGTATCTCTCAACTATTGGGAATCAAAGTCTCTTGGAGCTGCCAAACAGTGTAATGATGATACCATGCCTCCTGTTTGACTTGGAAGGGCAGGTGCCTGCAGCCCTGGAGGGGCTCTCCTCCTCTGGGAAGATGACTTAGTTCATGTCTCAGGATATCAAGCTTTCAGGGCTGGAGCAGAGTAGGTATGAGTCTAGGGTCAGCTCAGGCTGCCTTAAACTTCAGCAGCTTACAATTACCTGCAGAGCGGCTGAGCTGCTCATTCAATGGCTCTTGATTTTCTGCTTTGTGTTCTGCTCACCCTATGCTTTCAGCTGATCGCTGCAGATACCGTATAAATTGATTTCTCTGTAATTACATCAGCTACAACAGGGAATACCTATTTCCATATGTAAGTGTTAGTAAATAGAGGGTGGGTGTGTATGATTTGGTGGTAGTGCCCTCTCAGTGCCTGGATTCCAGTGGTAGCTTGTGCTTTTTTTGTTATAGATATTTTGGTCTTTGCCTCTGGCACATCTGTAGCTCTTAGCAACATCGGGGCTTCCCTAGTAACAGGGCTGTGAATTTTTTTCCACTAATAACACAATGGTTCATTTCCGTTTACCAGTGGCAGCTGCCAGAGAGGCTGCCTGTGTTTAGGTGGCAGATGCTATAGTCCACCTCAGCAGAGTCAAGTTCCAGCTGGTTATTGGCATGGTTCATCCTGTGCTGGCTGTGATTTGCCATTTTCTCTGGGGTGCAGATGGATAATACTGTTTTGAAGAGGCCTAGGAATACCAGGAGTTCTTGTTTCTGTTCCAGGCCCATTAGACTGTTCCCTACGTCTGGCAGCAGTAAACTCCTGCCTTATAATCATTGTTCTTCCTGTGCTTAAAAATGGACACTTCTAAGAGTAACCTTCATTTTCCTTTCTGTTTAGAACTCTGGCCTCAATGCTGCAATCTCCTAAACTCAGAATTAGTCTGTGGGTGAAAGGATTAATGATGCTTAGCATCATGTTGGCTTTAATTCTAAGTGCCCAGGATAGTCTCCAACAGAGAAGCAAATGGAACCCATTTTCTCTTAAAGGTGCAGAGACTAGTTGGGAGGCTGCCCTTCAGATTATAATTGGACTGAAAAATGCAGTGCATTCAGCTAAGAATACACCTTCGCGCTTGGGGACTTTGTCCCTTAATAATGTAGGTGTGTTATAAGCCTTGTCTCCTAAGGCAATTGAGAGTGGGGAAATAGGATGAGAGAGAAAAGGGAGAGAGACTTTTGAAAGAAAGATAAAATTGCCAGGAATTACTTTCAGAAGCAGAACATTTATTTTGCAGTTTGATGTTACTATAAGAATGAACCTGGTTTCTCAGCTCCTTTCCCTATTCCCTCAACTCCTTTGAACAGCCGGTTTCTGGGGTGCTTTTGCATGAAGCCTTTGACTATTGAAGCAATTACTTAAATAAATGTTTGGATGTTGCTAGGAGATGAAAATACTGTGCAGGGAGAGAGTGATTTTTGTAATGGGAGGAGGAAAAGACGACTAGGAATCTTGCAGCTTTCAAGAAACAGGGACCATAGAGTTTGGGGCATAATAAGTGTTCAGTCAGTATTTGATGATAAGTAAAATAGCTTGTGAGCTAAGTCTCTGTAAATTTCTTTTAAAATTTTCTCTCTGAGATATGGGCTTGTCTATGGCTTAACTGGTTTGGAATGTTCCTTCCATGTAGGGACAACCAACAGAAACAAAACAGATGATTTGATATAATCTAGGAATTACATAATCTGAGCTGAAGACTGTCATGAAGAAGAAAACTCATAATATTTAGAAAGTACATTGGTAGGAGGTTCCCTCACCCTCACCCCTACTTGGAAATAGGAGAGAAGACAAATGGTAGTTTGTGGCATAGAATAGAATTGTCACTGAATTATCACTTGTGTACCACTAGTTAATAAGGGGGATTTAAATATTCAAATTACCTCAGGATCTTCTCTCTCATCAAGGTAGGTATCTTAGGCTATCACTGAGGGAATTTTCTATCAGCCCAGGATGTGGTTTTCCCTTCATTGGATCTAATTTTTGCTCCATACCTCTCTCTGGCAGGGCTCACTGTGCTGTTTCCCAGAGTTCTAGGAGAGTCAGTCCAGGGATGACTCTTAGCAACTACTGCTGCCCTAAATTGTTATTGAACACTCCTGCCTTTTACTTCCTGCCAGCTGAAGAGACAGGGATAGGGAGGGGGGTGTTGTTGAGGAATAAACAAGATTGAGCCTTCTGGTTCCTGCCTGTTCCCTTGCCAGGGGTTTGATTGATAGGTTGTTAAGTTAGGGATGGAAGGGGAGGTAGAAAGGAGGGAGGGTGCCTGTCTGAATGTTCCAAGCTTTGTGCTTGCATTGCCACCCTGACAGGCAAGAAAAAAGAATTTACAAACCACAGAAGGCAGTGATCTATCTGTGGTGGCTCCTGCAGACAGAGTCAGGCTTAAAACAGGAGTTTAAGTGAGACTTTTTTTTAAAGTCATATAAAGTAACCAGTAGGTTCTAGTGACTACAGGATCTAGAAGTTTGCAACTAGAAGCTCCTCTCACTTCTTTAACTGTTGCCTTTGATCTTGTAAGATAGAAACACTGCTAATGCTGCTCTCAGAATGCTGCATGTATTTACCACTTCCCCTATTACTTTAGGATATAAAGAAAATGCAAAGTATGCTCTTAGCTATTTTGCCTTCTGATCTTGCTTACTGTTACATTCTTTGTTTTAAGAGCATCTTCCTTTGCCCTTGGTTTTGTTTTCTTGCCTTGGCTTATGCCTTCTAGCTCAATTCTGTTTTGTTGCAATCCCTCATTGCCTAACCAAGGTCAGGTCTCTTTTATTCCTTCTGATACACCTTCCTCCTCCTCTAGTTGTTCTTTCTTAGTGATGGCATAGCAGTCAGCTTTGCTTCCTGAAGCGAATGCCCTAAAGCATTTTTCTTTATGGAAAATATTTAAAAATTTATATTTATGTGGGACAGAGATGTATTCTCTAACTACAATGGAGCCTGAGTTTAATTTATTTTTTCTTCAGCAGCTCTGTTTTCCATTTGGGTGTTGTAATTCAAGGAGGGCCCAGAGAAAGATTATCTTGTCCAACCTCCTCATTTTATAGAGGAGGAAACTAAGACCAGGGAGGTCATGTGACTTATCTGGGATCTCCCAGATAGTCAGTGGCAAAGCCAGACATAGAAACCAGGGTTTTAGTTGCCACATTCTCCACCTCCTCCTCCTCCTCCTTTTTTTTTTTTTTTTTTTTTAATCTTTATTGTTCAGATTATTTCAGATGTTCCTCCCTGCCCCCCTTCCACCGGATTCCCACCCCACCCCAGGCCTTTGTCCACCCTACTGTCCTCGTCCATAGGTGTAAGGCCTTTGTCCAATCTCTTTCCTCACCTACTCCTTCCCCCTGAGAATTGTCAATCTGCTTCCTTTCCATGCCCCTGACTCTATTATATTCAGCACAGTTTATTCAGATTTTTATATTCGCTTATTTATAGATATGTATTTGTTGTCACTTTGTTGTTCATAATTTTTTATCTTTACCTTTTTCTTCCTCTTCTTAAAGAATACCTTTACCTTTTTCTTCCTCTTCTTAAAGAATACCTTTCAGCATTTCATATAATACTACTTTGGTGGTGATGAACTCCTTTAGCTTTTTATTGTCTGTGAAGCTCTTTATCTGATCTTCAATTCTGAATGATAGCTTTGCTGGGTAGAGTAATCTTGATTGTAGGTTCTTACTATTCATCACTTTGAATATTTCTTGCCACTCCCATCTGGCCTGCATAGTTTCTGTTGAGAAATCATCTGACAGTCATATGGGTACTCCCTTGTAGGTAGGTAACTAACTGTTTTTCTCTTGCTACTTTCAAGATTCTCTCTTTGTCTTTTGCTCTTGGCATTTTAATTATGATGTGTCTTAGTGTGGTCCTTTTTGGATTCCTCTTGTTTGGGGTTCGGTGTGCTTCCTAAACACCAGTTAGGGGAAATTTTCTGTTATTATTTCTTCAAATAGGTTTTCAATATCTTGCTCTTTCTCTTCTTCTGGCACTGCCATAATTAATATGTTGGTATGCTTAAAGTTGTCCCAGAGGCTCCTTACATTATCTTCATATTTTTTTAAATATATTTTTTTTCTTTTTGCTCTTACAGTTGGGTGTTTTTTGCTTCCTCATATTTTAAATCTTTGACTTGATTCTTGGGATCCTGTACTCTACTGTTGAATCTTTGTATATTATTCTTTTATTTTTAAAAAATATATTTTATTTTTTACAGAGAGGAAGGGAGAGAGTTAGAAACA